GGGATATGCATTCGTGCAACGATAGCAAAATAAGTACTCGACTTACTGCCGAAAAATTCCCAAGTCACCACATCACTTCACCTTTCGTATGTTTCATTACCAATTGATGCCGACAGCATTACTGATCATAATAGAACCATTATTTGTGTTGTATTTTAATATTTGTCATTCTACTGCAAGTTTGCAGTAACAAATGTTGTACAATTGTCTTACAGATTTCGGACAAACTCCTGTCCAAACTGCACAGGTTGGACAAGCGGTTCCGTTCAGAGGTTAGACATCGCTTCACCAATTTTAGATGCATAAGGATGTGTTATGTACTTTGCAAATCACATTTCTGAACAGTGGTGAGTTAGTTAATTGTTTATATTAATAGGAGGAGTTGATGTTACTTGATTGTTTATATTGATAGAAGGACTTGATAACACTGGAGAGCAGAGAGGTTTTATCAGCGGCCCAAGACGAAGTTGTTGACTCTGTACTTGACGACAGAAACAATGAAAGGTACGGATGAGTTTAGTACTCGCAATTAACCTGTTCCGTAGTATTTGTGAAATAAGTTTGAATTCCACAATTTTCATGTGTCGTGCTATGTTTATTTGATTCTTGTAGGTATCAGTTCTTTAATTTTTCATTCTCTATGATTTTGATGGGTTTATCCATGTCGTATGTAGGATTCTCTTTGAATTTAATGCAGTGGGCTACGGAAAGATCAGTGGCTAAATTTCCTGTCTGAAGTTTTCTTCTTTTGGTCTTATCCTGCACACATGTACCTATTGGGAAAATTGCAAACCACTGATATTTTCACAAAAATATTTACACATTCATGGAAACCTTTATAATTTTAATTATGAAACTTAATAAAGTTTACCAATGATTTGCAAATTTTTTTGAGAACTTATAATGAAGTGCAATTTTCCCTACCTATTTTCTTCTACTCTGCTTACATTTTCCATTTTGATCATTTTGGGATATTGTTGGCTCCAATTTGTAAAAAACGTGTTTCTTTTTTTTTAACTTGCTGACCTGTAAATGAGCATTTCAATTTTCACATATTATTTTAGCAAATACTATTGGACATGTCATGAGTTGTAATATCTAAAACTTTGTCTTTTCATTTTGTTTTTTAAAAACTTAAAACTAATCTTCATTGGATTGGAGCCTAGTAGAATCAGGAATATCTGCCATAGTTGTACAACAGGAAAAACTAATCTTATGTTGTAGAGTTAAGCCAGATACGTTTAAGTTTTACTAGGCTGTAGGTTGCTTCTTACTGATTGATGTATACGTTTTATGTAGGGACATTGTCGTGTCTATGAATCTGCATGAAATGCCTTGCAAATGTGCTACGCGAAGTGACATGCGCACGTTTAAACCAGGGGCATGGCTATCCAATACTGTAAGTCGTGGCATCTGACAATGTTATTTCCACTATATTTGCATGATGGACATATCCATGTAGGGACATTGTTATTTCGTATTACATTTAAACAAATGGCAAACCTTATTTCGCAAGTTGCCTGGTCTGTTACAATGTTCCAGCCAATCAACTTGGTCGCGATTCAATTGACTAACGGACAGCGGCAAGTACACAAAGACGGTAGGCATACTGCGTGGTTCTTTCCAGTATATTTGTCGGTAAGTAAGTGTTTTAGGTCGGTTGTGTATTGCAGAAGACATATTTTCAGAAAACTTTGGCTGACTGAACTTTACACACTAAACATGCAGACTTTGATACTAAATCAAAAAACTCAACCTCTGAACCATGAAAATATCGTCAAATCATATTTTGGACATGACAGATATACTGGGGTGCTTGATGCATGTGAGAAGGTAATATGAATGTCCATCCCATTGAAGCGAGTAGATTTAATATGGACGTCGGTAATATGAATGTCGATCCCATTTACTTGAATGTCAATGTAAATATGAAAGTGCGTACATGTTCGCATGCCCTCTAAACAATGTCTTCACTTGTGTTTATGTGTAGATTTACATGCCTTTCAATTATAGAGGAGTACATTGGTTGTGCCTAAAAATAGATATGGTAGACCATGTGGCGTACCTATTTGACTCAGCGAGTATCCTTCGTGCATGTGATTGATTGCAATTACAACAAATAGGGCAGTGATTTTATCATGGCCTGCCAGTATGAGAGTAATTTCGATGCCCAACCACAACTGGATTACTGCATCAGCTTGTCGTGACAACTTTTTAGGTCGCAGTTGTGATAATACTAATTTCCCACGCGTATTGATTATACACATAATTCCAATGTTTGGGACTGGAACAAATGACGGAAAGTAGTAATGTTTGTTTGCTTTTATCGTGGCCTGTACGTAATGTGATACACATAATTCCAATGTTATGGGTACAGAACAAACAATGCAATGTGATATTTGTCCAAATGAATATAGTAATGTTTGTCCAATGCAATGTGATATTTGTCCAGCAAACAATGCAAGTTGAAAGTAGTAATGTTTGTTCGCTTTTACCACATGAATTATGTTTGTTCACTTTTTTTGAATGCCATAATTTTGTCCGAAACAAAGCAAAAAAATTCCCACAGAACAAACAAATAGCAATGACTATAATACACCAACAGGGTCCACCTATCCACAGGAATTCATGTGGTAAACAAACTACTGTAATTCTCCTATCGAACCACCTTACTATTATGTTTCCAACTGTCCCTGCACATTGTGGACTTCACATCTTCAGGTCAAGCTTTGTATTCTGCTAATGACTGTTTTTGCAATCCACCCAGTTAGTCTATGCAATATCCTCGTAACTCCTGCATCATGTGGGCCCTCACGTGCAGTTAAACTAAACCCCTTTCATATGTGCAACTGATGGACTTTGACGTTGACTTTCACACATGTCATGTTATGGTTGATCCACGTGTGAACAGGCACAAAGAAGTACAAATTTTAAACTGCAAACGTGCCACAAATTTTAAACTGCAAACAATGCCATGTTGCATACTGCCTGGTTGTTTCTAGTATATCGATCAGTAAGTAAGTGTTTTACGTCAGTTGTGTATTGTAGATGACATATTTTCAAAAATATTTGGTTGACTGACTTCACACACTAAACATGCAGACTTTGATACTAAATAGAAACTACTAAATATCTGTATATGATAGATATACTGGTGTGAAGAAGTATGACATCCTTTACATAAACGAATCCTTGGAAGAGCAACCACATAGGAGATACATAAACGAAAGATATGTGAAGAAGTATTATCCAACCATGTGGGAAACTTTGAAGGGGAGTTGATTACTTCATAACAATGCACAAACGGAGAAAAATTGCACAAAATAGAAAAAAACCATACATCAATAAAGAGGAGCTTGGAGCTAAAAAAGCTCCAACCTCCTAGTTGGTGAGAGACCAACAAAGAGAAACAAAACCAGAAGGAAAATAATAAGAATGTAACTCCAAGCCCATCCTCACAAAAACGCATATCAGGGCAACCAGATAAAACTCCAAAGCAGCATGAATAAACTTCAGACCATATAGCCAGGCTTCAGACCAAGAGCATAATGCAGCCACAAAAACCATGCCCAACTTCAGACCATGAACAAGATACCACCAGCTACACAACCAAAACAAGCACACAGAGGTGAAACAGTAGACCAAATATGCTACTTAGCAGCAATCACAAAAAGACATACAACAGCAGTTTGGATTTTAATTTGCAGTTAACATCACAAATCTGTAGTTTACAACAGCAGTTTGAACCATTGACATCAGCTCCAGATCAGTGAACTGCTGTTTGACCTCCAGACACTAGCCCAGCAACACCAGAGCTGCAACAGAGAAGAACCATGACATGCACTGCAGCCTTACAACTCAAGCTACACAACCCAGATCCTGCACTTCTGCACTGAATGGATATAACCAAACCAGGAAATCACCTAAAAGCATACTGCTACATCATACTACCAAGTATCACCCCATTTGATCCTGAATTCACACAGATCACAGCAGACACCAGCTAGGAGCCTGATCCATTAGATCTGATCCAAACCTCACAGCAGCAGCCACCATTCAGACTTGAGCCTGATCCTTCAACCTCCAAAACTAATAAAAAACTATAGCAGCAGACCAACAATTGGAACAAGGCTAGCAGCAGACCTCCAATAACTTTCCCATTCCAGCAGTAAACCTCCAATACAGCACACCAAAACATCATTCCAACAATTGCAACACCAGCTAGGAGCCTGATCCATTAGACCTGATCCAAACCTCACAGCACTAGCCACCATTCAGACTTGAGCCTGATCCTTCAACCTCCAAAACTAATAAAAAACTATAGCAGCAGACCAACAATTGGAACAAGGCTAGCAGCAGACCTCCAATAACTTTCCCAATCCAACAGTAAACCTCCAATACAGCACACCAAAACATCATTCCAACAATTGCAAAAAGGCCAATATACAGCAGCAAACTTAAGCCTATTCCTTGATCCCATATAGCAGCAGCAGAGTACATATATAGTAGAGCAGAGTTGAAGCACAACAGAGTAGCAACCAGAAATGAGCATGCTTGACAGCATAAACTAAGGCAGAGCAACAACCCAAAAATAAGGCAAAGCATAGCAAAATTGAAGCACATCATAGCAAAATTAGCCACCAAGAAGATTTGCTAATACCAGGTATACACCCACTTCCCCTTGCTTCCATCAGTATACCATAGATTGACCAAAATCCTGCACCCTTGCACAAAAAACACTAAACACCACCCCCTCAATCAGACTTTGATCCTATCCAGATTATTGACAATGTCCTCCATTGATAGACAATCTCAATTTTCTTAGCCACTCCCACAGGTATTTTGGAAATTAGTAGAAAATAGAAAGTATTGATATTCACTCATGAACAAGTCTGCACAATGGTCTGAAAGATAGCATGCATTCTGTGCAATACAATAGAATACATATATAAATTGTTCTAGGATTTGGGAAAGAGAATGGCTAGAACACCCCATTCTGATTAAGCATCTGCCAGCATGGCTTGGGCTTGGACCAACGCAGCTTTAGTTGTCTGAATTGATACAGAACGATGTCTAATTTGGGAGAGCATCATCCTTGCTTCTTGATTAAGCTGGTCATGTTGCTGCTGCAGATGAGCCTTTCTTTGCCAGACAGAGGCAAGTTCTGCCATGAGTTTGGTTTCCTCAAGTTCAAGTGCTGAGTGTTGCTGAAGAATGGCTACAGAGGTTTGCTGGCTGAGTTTGAGTGAAGTAGATATGGTGTGGGCTTCGTTTAGGAAATATTTTTTGGTTTGAATATCCTTCGAGCAAGTCTGAACCATCTCTGAAAGGGTTGGCCATTCCATGATGATCTTGGCCAAGGGGTTGAAAGGATTAGGGGAGAGGTTTAGAACAGCAGAAAGACAGGCCAAGGTTTCATCAGGTTTGTGGAGAATGATTTCTTCAACTGGGGTGTTAATGAGGTTGATGAAAGTAGTTAAGGTTTGTTGAGTTTCAGCATGAAAGAGATGTAGCCTTTGAGGCAATGGGGATATTTCGTCTAGATGTTGTTGAAGAATAGAAAGTTCGGCCCAAATATCCTGACATGGAACGATGGCCTATGAACATTAATAGTTTGGTGAGAATATATGCTTGCAAGTAATAAAGAGTAAATAGGATGAGGTTGGAAATGGTAGTACCTGTCCTAATAACGTGCGCGTAGACGGCTGGCCTTGTTCAGCTGTGGTTGTGGCAATAGGAGGAGTTGTTTCGGGTACTAATGAAATGGCAGCATCAGCGCCTTTAGGCTCTTTTTCTGGTTCTGCTAACAGGGGAAAGTCATGAGGACCTTCACGTTCTTTCGCAGACATTGGTCGTGGAGATGAGTCGTGTATTATGTCCATCCCTGTAAATTGGAGAACAATACCAGTTACTTAAAGAGAAGTTTTTTTTTTTCAAACGAACAGTCACATTTGTATTTCTATTTACCTTGGTTGTTGTGAACTTCTGGTTGAGGGGATTTTGTATTGTCATCTGTTGAAGAGGATTGGCTGTTGATTGAAATGTCAAAATCAATCCTTTTTGATTCTTCGTTTGAAGTTTGGAAATTAGAGGGGTTGGATGGTGATGGTTGAGGGCTAAAGATAGAAGGGACAATAATAGGCTCAGTGCCCCTTGGGTAATCAACCTCCACCAGGACAGCCCCAACTGTGACATCCCTAAGAGCAATAGGAGGAGGTTCTAACTGTGAAGGATTATGTGATGCAGATTGTGTAGATTGTTGTGGCGAAGACTGTGAAGGATGTTGTAAGGAAGTTTGTTGAGATGCTTGAGGTGGTGGTGGAGTTGGTTCTACAGTGGGTTCTCTGGGTACATTGGTGATGGGACTAGGAATTGGATCAATGTGTTGAGGAGAAGTGGAAGGATGTTGTGATGCAGATTGTGTAGATTGCTGTGGCGAAGACTGTGAAGCAGGTTCTAAGGAAGTTTGTTGAGATGCTTCAGGTGGTGGTGGGGTTGGTTGTACAATGGGTTCTCTAGGTACATTGCTGATGGGACTGGGAATTGGATGAATGTGTTGAGGAGAAGTGGAAGGATCCTCATCATCAGCAGCAGTAAGGAGTAATCTCCTTCTTTTTCTCTGCACAAAAGTAAGTGATCAGTCGGGCGTGAATGGAAATTGAGATGATGTAAATATGTAAAGTGAAGACATACTTGGTAGAGCTGCCCTGAAGGATTTGATGTTGTTTGGCCAACCATTTGGCTGAGAGGGATATCTCAATCACTTAGGTCTGTACTTAGAGCAGGAGCAGTGGAAGGCTCTTCTCTCTTCTTCGCCGTGACCTCTGTCTTGGCAGAGGTACGGGTGGTAGTTCCTCTCTGTGCTTGTGTCTGCGAGGCTGCGAAAGAGTCTGCCATTAATTTCGGAACTGAGTGGGTGTTTGTCTGAGTAGTTGGATCCATTGGAACCTTGCCTTTATGTTGGTCCCTAACCAATTTTGGCTGTCAAAGGTCAAACAAGTTAGTGTTGTAGAGAAAAAAAAAAATGGATGACACAGTCAGGGATATGAAGTATATGAAGGAAGGATACCTGTAACCTTAAGCTTGGAAGGCGAGGATATGGGGCCCTGATTATGAATACAAGTATCGTGAAGGCAGGTTTCAAGTGGCTTGCAGAAAATAATGGCAGTCATAAGTCCCCACCAATGGTCAAAAACAATGGAGCAGTCCGAAGCAGGTTTGAAGAAGAAGGGACCAAAATCGTAGAAAAGTTTGGTGTTCTCTGTCAGAATGGATTCAGCTTGCCTAGGATCTTTGAAGTAGATTCTGGACCCAATCTCCTCATGGATGGTTAGCTGGAAATAAGGATAAGGGATACCCTGGGAAAGACCTAATTGCCTGGACCATTGATTGGGACAGTATGTCTCAAAACTGCAGTTGGACATCTTGGTGGAGGATATGGAACAGCCAACCAAGACATGTCTAGAGGTGAGAATGTGTCTCCAAGTCTTATTTTGTTCTTAGACTTACTCATTGTGTAAATTAGAAGGGTCTGTGAAGAGGAAGTGAAGTCTACTGGAGGAGAATTGAAAGTTTTGAAATGGCATGTATAAGTTGGAAGGTCTCTTAGAAGGAAGGTTGTAAAACATGGTAAGATGATTTCTGAAAGTGAGGATGGGTTGGTTGTTATAAGTGAGCAATTGCTTAGTATAGGAGTGGAAAATTGGTTTCAAGGTGTTAACTTGTGGGGGTCGTGCCTCAGGGAAATAGGCATACAACCAGGCCTGGAAGAGCCAGAAGGGGCCACCACAGTTGCCAGAAATCTTCTTGTCAACAAAGGAAAATAGGGTCTTGTAAAGGGTGGCAAGAAGATAAGGGGCTAAAGCCATAAGTTGGCCATCTTACATACATAAGGCAAGGGGGAGGTATTCCTTCGTGATCTTGTACCCGGGACACAAAAAAGAAACTCACAAAGCCAAAGTAAGTAAAAAGCAGTTCTTTCTTTGTCTTGGACAGGGGAACCAGGCTTGCCTTTGTATTTTTGGGCAAAATCTGTATAGCACATGTCAGTGTTTAAAGTAAAGGTCACTTTTGGAGGCTTGCCCAAGATTGGCAGACCAGTCAAGTGAGCTACATCTAAGATGGTAGGGGAAATCATACCAAAATTGAGGAGTAGGGAGTTACTAGACTGCGACCAAAAGCATGCAGCAGCAGCAATCAGCCCTTTCTCCACGTCATAAATTTTAGTCGACAGTCTAATTGCTTCAGCAATGCCCTGGTGCTTCCATACTTCGGCGTCGTGACCTTCAATTCTCCTGGCCCAGCTTCGCCAATCAGAGTCTGGTGACCTCCACCCTCTGAGTGGGTTTTTGCTGACATTCCAGTTAGTCCACTTAAGTCCAGGTTGGTTGAGAAGAAGGTTCTCACCATTACCAAGGGGATAGTATGGAGCTAGCTCGTCTGGAAAGTAAGCCGCGAAGGTAGGGCCTAGAGTAGCCTTAGCGACGGAGCTTGTGCTGGGCAATAGGGTTGCACCAAATTTTAGAGGAGCGATACGTGCTCTAATAGGGTCTGGAATGCGGAGTACGTCTTCATTGTTCTCCTCAGATGGACATGGTTGAGATTTTTTCAACGCCATGGCTTAGGGTTTTGTGGTGCTCTGGTTTGAACGGTAATGCTTGAGAAGAAGGAGTACAGTCTGGGGAGTTCGAATAAGAGGGAAATGAAGTGGTTTGAAGTTGAAAAGGTGGGTCTTTTATAGCTTATGATGGGGCCAGTATATTTAAATGCTCTTATATTGGGCTGTAGTTTATGTTTGTTTTGGGCCCGTATTAAGAAATTTGCTATTGGGCCCAAACAATGGCCGCCTTGTTGGAGTAGAATATCATATGACTTGGACCCCCACAAGGGGGCACCCCCATGACCCCCCCTCTCTCTGATTGGCCAGTTTTAAATTTCTTTTTCTTTTTTTTTGGACCCCCACAAGGGGGCACCCCCATGACCCCCCCTCTCTCTGATTAGCCAGTTTTAATTTTTTTTTTCTTTTTTTTTCCCTTCTCCTTCAATCACCAGCCCCACATGTGTGTGTGGAGGGGGGAGGGGGGTGAGGTGATGGTGCAGGTGGTGATTGGAGGGGATCTCAATCACTTCCGCAAGGTTAATTCATATGATATTTAAGTTGAACATGGGGGCCATTGTTTGCACCAAGTTTTGCCAATCTCTGTCGACAGATGGTCCACTTAATCGAGGACACGTGGCCAAGTCTAAAGGAATGTCCACCACTTGAAAGTGGGCTTTTTGCATGTGGGTCACCTAGAAATGATGGGGGAAGTTTTTAGCACCAGTCATGGAGTTAGTGGGCACACTTTCAAGAGGAAGCATGAGACAAAGCAGGAGCCTTGCTCTGTCGACAGAAATTTCAAACATTTGGTGGCCATGAAATAAACACAAGAAAAGGGAGATCGACAGATAGAAGTGGAGGTTTAGCATACTTGGAAAGCCTAGAAGGGAGATCGTTGGTTTCGATATCCGTATACTGTTTTTATGGCCCATCATTGCATGATCCCACACGTCTACACCATAACTGCCACTGTAACTTCCCACTGACTTCGAATCTTTAAGTCCCTTCTGCCAAATATTGACTCTTCCCTGTCGACCTTTCTTTTCACCATTGTGGGGCATGTCCCTCATCATTATGAGTTAGTGGGCACACTTTCAAGAGGAAGCATGAGACAAAGCAGGAGCCTTACTCTGTCGACAGAAGTTTCAAATAGTTAGTGGCCATGAAATAAACACAAGAAAGGGAGATCGACAGATAGAAGTGGAGGTTTAGCATACTTGGAAAGCCTAGAAGGGAGATCGTTGGTTTCGATATCCGTATACTGTTTTTATGGCCCATCATTGCATGATCCCACACGTCTACACCATAACTGCCACTGTAACTTCCCCTTGACTTCGAATCTTCAAGTCCCTTCTGCCAAATATTGACTCTTCCCTGTCGACCTTCCTTTTCACCATTGTGGGGCATGTCCCTCATCATTATGAGTTAGTGGGCACACTTTCAAGAGAAAGCATGAGACAAAGCAGAAGCCTTACTCTGTCGACAGAAGTTTCAAATAGTTAGTGGCCATGAAATAAACACAAGAAAGGGAGATCGATAGATAGAAGTGGAGGTTTAGTATACTTGGAAAGCCTAGAAGGGAGATCGTTGGTTTCTATATCCGTATACTGTTTTTGTGGCCCATCATTGCATGATCCCACACGTCTACACCATAACTACCACTGTAACTGCCCCTTGACTTCGAATCTTCAAGTCTACTCTGCCAAATATTGACTCTTCCCTGTCGACCTTCCTTTTCACGATTGTGGGGCATGTCCCTCATCATTATAAGACAAAAATCGACAGAATATTGTCCACTAAACACAACCACAATCCTTTCAAACTGGGCCACTGAACCACAACACTTGGCCACTCACTGTTACTGCCCCTGACTTTGAATCATCAAACTCTGCCAAATATTAAATTTTCCCTATAATTTAATCAAAATATATTCAATGTCGGTAAACTTGAAAATATGTTTGAAATACCCTTTTTCTGTATTGTAATGACTTAAACACAATTGTTGTCCTACATTTTACGTAACCAAAATATACAACTTATTTATATCAAAAACAAAATATACATCTCGGGTTTATAATAAAAAAAATGGAAATTACTTTTTTTTTTTTAAAAAAAGTTCACTCATATTTTCAGCTAGATTATGATTGGTTATTTTTAAAAAATTCCTCTTTGCACCTATTTTTCCCACATCTTGCCAACAGCTGCTCCATTCAATCGAGGACACTTGGCAAGTCCACTTGAGGACAAGGGTTATCAACTAACATTGAATCTGGCATGACACCTGACTTACACGCTGAAGCAGTTATTGGCAGTGCTCATGGATTTAGTGGCCAGCCTCCAAGAGGAAACATGAACGAATTGAGAGTCTGTATCTGTCGGGAAAGGCTAAAAGGACTTGGGCACAGGTGGCAACTTCAATTATATGCACTTTGATAGGTACAATTGAAGGTTTTATGTGGTTTCAAGACACGGAAATGACCGTGCAGTTACAGAAGTTGCACAGAAGCAGTTGTAGAATCGGCAGATCATGGGGTCGTGGGAAATAATAACTATAAAGGGCAGAATGTTTGCAAAGAGAGAGGACATGAACAACAACACAACAACTTACTTTCTACATTGTAACTTCTGAGTAGTTTTTTCCCTTCTACTTTCTACTTTGTTACAAACAACACAACAACACAACAACTTACTTTCTACTTTGTACTTTGTACTTTGTTACTTTCTACTTTGTACTTTCTACTTTGTTACTTTCTACTTTGTTACCACTAGTTCATCGAAAGAAGTCTTCATTCTTTTCAGGCATTCGAACCAATACCACAATTGCTTGATTTTCTTCTTTAACTTGTCAACTTTAAATTACTGCTTCGTTGCTGTCGACATAGGCCCACCATAATTTTACTAACAATAAACCCATCACTTTCATAGTTAACATGAAATAATTTCACAACTCCTATTCGTAACTCGTAATTCATATAGCAATCGGCATGGAGATAAAGTAACGAGTTCATTGGGTTACTTTCTCCAAGTAACACCCAAAATTAACTGCCACTTGGATTATATACAAAATGCATGTGCTGGTATGTAATTTTGCAAACCCACATGGACAAAATTCGTATTTTACTCGAAATATAATACTAATTTACCGAAACAAGTCATAACAAATCAATATGAAGCCAAACACATCGTTAGTTGATAAACCACACCGCAAAAAACCCTTCAGTTAGATCCAACCAAATATGGAACAGAAACAAGCAACCCACAATAGGAATCTTGAAATACAGACATAAGCCAATTTCCCGCCCAAAACAATACACAGACAACCCATATATATCTCACATTCAATTAGTTTTCAAAATGACAAGTCACTGCAAACACAAATGACAACATCGCTCTAAACAATATGGGAAATTTACAACTCGTGGCCTTGTACATAAGTAACGTTGTGCCATTTCTTGGCATTGTACGTAACCAAATATTTACACGTTACGTATAACAATTCGTGCAAAATGAAAACTACATACATTATTTACATGTGTTTTCAATAGCTAGTACTATCTACCTAATAAATTAAGGGAATAAGTAAATCATACAAATTATACAATTACTTGATTCACCTCATCAATTGGGTCAAATCATTTTTGCACACTGTTGTTTCTACACCACCGTATTAGCCCACAGGCTGCTTGGAATCAGGAGAAGCATCGAAAAAAAGTCGCCGTTGCTTAATGTGCGGTGTACTTGGATCCACCAACCCAGTTTTGCAACGAACGGGCAATGACTCCGCATTGTACTTACGGTCAGTTATGTGGATTGTATCTGCATCTGAGTTACTACCCACTGTTCGGCTAAATCGAACCTTAGGACACGTTCACTTTGTGTGCCCAATGCATTTGCAATTCCCACATTTTCTTGGTCTTCGACAGTTGGACGAGGCCCGTCCGGGGTTCCCTTTTGTCTTCACAACATCAGGATCTTCTACTCCAAATTGTTGAGGGAATGAATGTTTCCCTTTGTCTCCATTCCCATCGTTCAGATTCCTCTCATATAACTCCTTCATCCGGCTCGTCATCGGAAGACATGCATCCCTAGCCCCTTTGAAACCTTCCGTTGATTGCGAGGCATAGAAACATATTTCATTGTACGAAGAACTCAATATCCCATACCAGGCCGTTTGTGTTGTAGTGCTATCAATTGAGGGTTGAGGCCATTGCTGGCCATCCTTGCTTGTAGCCCTTGTCCATCTATGCAGCACACAAGTTGGGGGAATTTGTGTTAAATTTTCGGCTTTCATAACACATATCATGTGATAGCAAGGTAGCCCCAATGACTCAAACTTCATGCAAGAACATCTCATTGCAGCATCTACTGGACTATGTGTTACTATCCATGATCTATCATTCACTTTGTACTTATGAATATAGTAGCATTTCTGACCATCCGGCAAAGGGAACACGTCCTTGACATTCAACTTCCCCTCTTCTAAGATTTCATCACGGAACATTCTAAATATATTTCGGGTGAATAGCTCAGCTCCATGTCTCTCTATATCTTGCAATGGAGTAATGAATACCGGAAAAGTGTTATTTGTTTCAACATCATCTCCAGCCTCGTTATACCTTATCCTTGCAAGAGCCCGATCGTAGTGCCTAATAAATTCATATAGCTTCAATTTGTGTTGGAGGAAGGGATTAAAATAAGCATTCATACACTCCGAACGCTGAGTGCTCTTCATCCCAGCAAAGAAATGTCCACGCATATATGCCTCATCCCACATATGACGCTTCTCATATGTCTCCAACACCCAACTGTTGGTTTGAAGTCCAAATTTTTCAACCATTGTCGTCTAGCCATGCTCAAACTTTGTCTCATCTGTTTCCATGTCCAAGCACTGCTTGAAAGCATGTGCAAAGCCACTTATGTGAACATTTGAAACATTATTTTTCCTAAGATGCCAATTACATAATCGATGTCTTGGATCTAGAAATACTCTTCTGATTGCCTCTTGCATCACCTTATCCCCATCTGTCAGTACGGACACTGGTGCTTTATTGCCCATCACCTCCATAAATGTTTCCAAAACCCATGTGTATGTCTCAATTGTCTCATTAGCTAGCAAAACACATGCAAATATCATGGTCCTAAAGTGGCTAGTCACACCAGCCAACATGACAAAAGGTTTTTGTATGCATTGGTTCTGTAAGTTTAGTCAAATATCAACACATCACCAAACTTTGCGTAGTCAGCCCGCGATTTCGAATCTGCCCAGAACAGATTTTGTAACTTGTTATCGTTACACACATCATACTTGTAAAAAAAAGGTGCATCAACATCAAGTTTTGCACATAGGTAAACCAACACACCCTGCGCATCACCATCCTCAACTTCTGCTCTACGTTCGGCTCGAATATGGTTGTGCAGATCCGTACGGATGAAACTAACATTCTCATAAGACCCAGATTGATTTACCATATAGTCCAAGATTTGGCTAGTCTTCACACCGACGTTGCGCATAGCCATTGCTTGAGCTTTGTTAGCGCTGTTTAAACTGCGATGTGACCTCAAATACATCACACAGTGTTGTTCTGCCAATCCATGGTTGTGGTCTGCGACGAAGTGAGTCACAATATACTTTCCCCCTTTACCACCATCTGCATCGTACCGTATGCGAAATTGGGCTTTGCAACTGTGAGAACCCTCACCACTGTTTACTGATAATACCACTAATTACTGCTAAAATGTGACTGAACATGATTAAGTAACTGATTTGACTGACATTCTGAACGGATTGATTGAGTGTATTAGTTTAAACGCATTTCTATCTGTTTGACTGTTAATTGATCTGTTCATGTTTTAATTTTGAACTGCAAATTGAAGGCCTTATCGGCAGCCGAATCAGAAATTGATTAGTGTTTTACGTTAATTAGAATTTAATGTGATTTTATGGTAGATTTAATTGAAATTTGATTTGAAATGATTAAATTAGATTAAATAATGTTAAATTACAATAGTTTGGATTTATTACAAGATTGCCACTTAGTGGCCTAGTTCTAGACCAACACTCTTCTTCATTTCATACACATTTGACATAACATTTCTTCAGCCACTTCTAGAGACCAACGTGAGAGAGAGCTTGAGAGTTGGTAGAAGAATTGAGTTCACTTAATTTGGCTTGGAGACCTAGAAGATTTGAAGAGTTCATTGCATATTTGAGCTCCTAGACTTGAAATTGAAAACCTAAGGTAGGAGAATCATCTTCTTGAACTTGAATTCTAGTTGTATCTTGCATGGTCCATGAGCCATTAGTGATCTAAGTCTAGAATTGGTTTTAAATTGTTGAATTGAAGCTTGAATCATGCATGCATGTGCACATTGGTGAGTTTTGAGGTTGTTTTCATGGAAATTCTTACATGCATGTCTATATTCTAGCTATGATCCATGAATCCATCATGTTTTTGAGTGAATTGACTCATTTGATCAAGTATTGGAAGCTTTGATTTCAATTGAACACTTGCATGTCATATGTTCATCATGTCCTTGAAGTTTATTTGAAATTGTGTTTAATTGAACTACCTTTGGGCTTTGATTTTGCAAATTAATCTTTGAAACATGTCATATTATGAGTTTTAAAGTGTTTTCCAGAAAATTAGCCCAAAAGGATCGGACTTGATGTTTGAAATGTTGAATTTGAGCTTGGAGGTTCAATCTGGAAATTCCAGATTTTGGACCCACGCTCGAGCGTAAGACTTCATGCTCAAGCGTACACTCTAGGTACATGCGTCCCACTCGAGCGGGGAAAGTAACGCTCGAGCGTGAAATGCATGTATCCAGTACTTTTCATATGTTTACAGTTCGCTCGAGCGAGGGAATGCACGCTCGAGCGAGGACTTGTGTCTCACGCTCGAGTGGAGGTCGAGCCCCATCGAGCGTGAATTGCATCCATCTAGTACTTTTACTGTAGTTTACAGTCTGCTCGAGCGAAGGAAGTCATGCTCGAGCGTAGATCCTTTGTCTGCATGTCCACTCGAGCGTAGAAAGCCACGCTCGAGCGAGACCCCTGTTTTCTGAAAATTCTGAAAAGTGTTTTTAAGTACATCTTTACATCCTCATTTCATCCTAGGCATTCTAAGGCCTAGTTTAAGGCATCTTAATGAGGATATTGATGTAGAACCACATCAAGTCAAGATAGAGACTAAGTCACTGATTCCCAAGTATGTAACTTAGTGTGTATGTAACTTACTGTGTGTTCATTCTGTAACTGTAGGGTTGGCATCCGAGGACGCTCTAACCTATCTGTAGCCCAGCGCTCTGTGAGTAACAATGTTGTAAAGATATATTCAATCATGAATATTTTCTGAATGATCAACTGTACTGCTTTCTGAAATGATATTTCTTACTGAATAAATGCTAGTCCTATTTGCGAATTGTATTCGTGGCATCCATAGCAATTTACTATTACTGCACTGTACTGCTACTGTCATAGAGATCTCTGTCAGTTCCCATGTTTGGAACCACTACTGTTTACTGATATGATGGCCATCAACTGACTGTTCGGTCTGTTAAGACCTACTGTACTGTTTGCTATTGGATGTACCACTTATGACTGCTATGATCGAATAACTGATATACCGTTCAAATGACTATTTTAAATACTGAAAGGACATTTATTCCTAACCTTTTTACGCATATGTTATTCACTAGGCTTTAGCTCACTGTTTATATATATATATATATGTAGGTGTCCAGGCACCGGATTGGAGCTAGGAACGTTGGCTTAAACTCCCTTTTTTTCAAGCCAACCAACGTGCCTCACTGCGAGATTCCAAGTGTGTTCAAGCTTAGGCTTTTTGGAGTGTCTCAGTTCACCCTTCTATCTCTGTTTTGTAATACTGTATAGACTTGTACTGTACTGTTACGGTAGGGATTTGGTCCCTAACCTGAATGCCTGTATATGATGTATATACATACTGCTTTTGTTCCGAATGTGAATGTGTTATGAAAAGTCTTTTTGCATACAGACTGTCACAGCTCATTGGTATAGTCCATGATTTGGCTAGTCTTCACACCGACATTGCGCATAGCCATTGCTTGAGCTTTGTCAGCGCTGTTTAAACTGCGATGTGACCTTAGATACATCACACAGTGTTGTTCCGCCAATTCATGGTTGTGGTCTGCGACGAAGTGAGTCACAACATACTTTCCCCCTTCACCAGCATCCGCATCGTACCGTATGCGAAATTGGGCTTTGCAACCTACTCTTGTTAGTGCCTTGGGAGCTCTACTCTTCTCAGCAACACGGTCCAAGTATATTGGTAATCTCTGACCTTTCCTTGAACACAACCACAGCCTACTAACGACCTTTCCCTCTTTATTTGTGTTAAATCTGGATTTTCGTATACTAAATCCCTTGGCTTTAGCATACGCATTGTAGAAATCTTCTCCATCTTCGACCGAATCAAATTTCTGTTCCAGAATAGCACGTTCAACATCACCAACCATGTCATTGCGATGAGCATCGTCAACCATTTCTTTTTTCACATCGGCTCCGCCATCTTCAACGTTCATATTGGTTGCTTCTTCATTGCTCGGACCAGCTTCGCAACCATGGTAAGGTTTCGCCCGACTTTCATTCATCAAACGAATGTCATCTGCTTCATTTGCAATGTCATAATCATCACATTCCCTTTTAACTTCCGCTGGGGCCATACTGCACATGACATTAGTACAAACAATTACTTGATGACCGAAAAATGTTAACACAAACACAAACATGACATTTTTCACATGGTTTAGTTGTTTGTGCAAACACAAACACTCGCTTGAGAAAGAGAAAGGTTAGTTTCCAATGGAGGGCTTTCTGTTTGAGCGAAGCGTAGAGCGGTTGAAGTTAGGATGGGGGTTTAGTTGAGGGAAAATAGCTGAAGTGAAGAGGCCAAAGAGACAGAGAGGGAGACAGAGAGAGGGAGACAGCTCCATACCTCATATCTAGTTGCCGAGAAGGGCTTCACTTCAGAATGGAACCAACACAGCCTTGTAGTTTCGTTGTTGTTGGAAATCGCCCGTTATACTGTTCCTTATAGAACTTCGTCAATGAAACCAACCCAGCAGGGGCTTCTCGCTGTTAATGGAAACACAAACACTCGCTTGAGAAAGAGAAAGGTTAGTTTCCAATGGAGGGCTTTCTGTTTGAGCGAAGCGTAGAGCGGTTGAAGTTAGGATGGGGGTTTAGTTGAGGGAAAATAGCTGAAGTGAAGAGGCCAAAGAGACAGAGAGGGAGACAGAGAGAGGGAGACAGCTCCATACCTCATATCTAGTTGCCGAGAAGGGCTTCACTTTAGAATGGAACCAATACAGCCTTGTAGTTCCGTTGTTGTTGGAAATCACCCGTTATACTGTTCCTTATAGAACTTCGTCAATGAAACCAACCCAGCAGGGACTTCTCGCTGTTAATGGAAATCAAGGGTTACACTGACTCAACCTTACACAGAGAGGAGAACAGAGAGAGATAGAGACGAAATACATAGAGTGAGTGTGATGCAATCATGCAAATAAAAGCATTAACCAGTTGCCCCGGTTTCAACTTTTTCACGATTAAACAATTCAATGGCCTTGATCAATTATTGTAATCTAACGGCTAACAATTGGATTGCATATGGTGTGCAACCTTAAGGGGGTTGCACACTTAAACAGAACCCATATATGTTTAGGCTTGATGATATATTATATATATTATTTAGGCCCAACTTCTCAACTCAAGACTTGGTCAATGCTCAGGAATGAAAACACACACACACACACATGCACACACACTCTCTCTCTTTCTTTCTTTTTCCTTTACTC